CACATCATGGGGCTCACAGCAGCACATGGGGCACATTATGGGACTCACAGCAGAACATGGGACACACAGTAGATCATGGGGCACATTATGAGGCTCACAACAGAACATTGGGCACACGGCAGAACATGGGGCACTTCATGGGGCTCACAGCAGGGCATGGGAAACACAGCAGGACATGGGGCACATCACAGGTCACACAGTAGAACATAGGGCACATCATGAGTCTCACAGCAGGGCATGGGGCACACAGCAGAACATGGGGCACGTCACATGGCACACAGAAGAATGGGGCACATCAAAGGTCACACAGCAGAATATGGGACATATCACAGGGCACACAGAAGAATGGGGTACATAACAGGGCACACATCAGAACATGGGGAACATCATGGAGCTCACAGCAGAACATGAGGACACATCATGGGGCTCACAGCATAAGCTCTGGGGTAAAAAACAGAAATAATGTATGCAAAGCCTGAATAAGACCTGTTGTGTATTTCTTCCAGGGTCTGACAAGTCTCCCAGTTGTCATTGCCATTGGACTAGCATCCATTTTTTTAAATGTTTCCCTGCTACCATCATTAAAAGCCTAAATTTCTTAACTGATGATGATTATGCATGGGCCTGAATTGTGGTACAAGCTAATTTCAGTTCTAATCACTTTTGATGACTAGTAGTGTACTATTGAGCACATGTAGGTAAAGAGCATGATAATAATATGTGCTGCCTTTTAGACAAGCTGGATATTTATGTTTATTGGCTCCGATAACCTTTCCACCATTGATACTGCTGGCCCATTGGAGTGGATTTTCCTGCTAGACTGATGTTGACATGTTGTCTCTTGAAATTATAGTCCAGTGGATGCTAGATGAAGGCATGAATCTTTGTTATGCAGTCCATAAATAAGAGCCAAATAGCACTTAGCTCAGGAGAAGGTCACATTGCAGATGAGAAAAAAAAGACCAAACACAATAATGAGTTTGGCTCCTGAATAGGCTGAGCTCCAGTAATATGTACTGACAAGAGTTAATTATTTGTTGAAGGAGATATATGTTGGTGCACTCAAGAACAATGTCTTACATACTTGTGATTGTCTATGATTACAAATACAGACAGGTCAAAGTCGAGGAGTATTCAACCCAAACTTTATTTAACAATGTAGTGTACACAACTGGAATGTATCCATGTATCTAGGATGGGTTCTTGGTTTTGTGAAACGTTAATGCAAACATGTCAACATGCGCTACATAGTGCATAAATGTGTATTACAACAAGGCAACCCATTCAATTTGATTTGAATAATCAGCCAATGAACCTTTATGTGGTAAAAACTTTTTTTAATTTTGGATAGAGTAAGGGAGGGTTATAACTCGAGTTGTTTTTCTGCCATCTGTGTCCCATTGTGGAGATTTCTCTTCACTTCCTGACCCATAGCCAAACAGGGAGTGAGAGGAAATCCCTAAAATTAAGGGAATTCCTTGGGAACCCCCAGGTCACCAGAACTAGTGTCCCCATTTGAAGATTTCCCCACTATTACTTTTCTGGGGACAACTCAAAATTTGGAATTTTCATTTACTTTCACTTTTAAGGATAATGATAAACAGGACAAATAGAGAGGGTGAATCTCCCTTACAGGGACAAAGACAGCAATAAAAATGGACAGGTACTGTAAACCATCTCCAATCTATCCAAAACTAAAGTGCTGTATCAAAGCACATCCTGGACATGGGCTTCAAATGTCGTATTCCTCTTGTCAAGCCGCTCCTGAACAACAAACAACGTCAGAAGCGTCTTACCTGGGCTAAAGAAAAACAGACCTGGTCTGTTGCTCAGTGGTCCAAAGTCCTCTTTTCTGATGAGAGCAACTTTTGCATCTCATTTGGAAACCAAGGACCCAGAGTATGGAGGAAGAATGGAGAGGCACACACTGCAAGATGCTTGAAGTCCAGTGTGAAGTTTCCACAGTCTGTGTTGATTTGAGGAGCCATGTCATCTGCTGGTGTTGGTCCACTGTGCTTCATTAAGTCCAGGGTCAACGTAGCCGTCTACCAGGAGATTTTGAAGCACTTCATGCTTCCTTCCGCAGAGGAGCTGTATGGGATGCTGCCCACACTGCCAAAAGCACCAAAACCTGGTTCAATGACCGTGGGATTACTATGCTTGATTGGCCAGCAAACTCGCCTGACCTGAACCCCATAGAGAATCTATGGGGCATTGCCAAGAGAAAGATGAGAGACATGAGACCGAACAATGCAGAAGAGCTGAAGCCGCTATTGAAGCATCCTGGTCTTCCATAACACCTCAGCAGTGCCACAGGCTGATAGCTTCCATGCCACGCCGCACTGAGGCAGTAATTGCTGCAAAAGGGGCCCAAACCAAGTACTGAGTACATATGCATGTTTATACTTTTCAGAGGTCCGATATTGTTCTATGTTCATTCCTTGTTTTATTGATTGCATGTAATATTCTAATTTTCTGAGATTGTGGATTTGGGGTTTTCATGAGCTGTAAGCCATAATCATCACAATTATGACAAATCACGGCTTGAACTATCTTGCTTTGCATGTAATGAGTCTATCTCATATATTAGTTTCACCTTTTAAGTTGCATTACTGAAATAAATGAACTTTTGCACGATATTCTAATTTTTCACCTGTATGATTTTATGTTTCTCACTAGGAGTATTTGCACTGCGGGGTACTTATTCATTTTTAATGAATATTGATACAGCCACAGAATGTCCCAGAGAGATATGGAAATTAACAGCACTATATAAGTACCTGTAATAAATAAATAAATATGCTCTGAAAGCATGCTGGGTAAGTGTATATATTCAGAGAGCAATAAAAAACATCAAACTGCGCAAATCAATATTCAAAAAAATTATTAATATGATAAATAATAAAAATAATACAAAACATTTATAATAAATAAAATATAAATTAAATAGTCCCACTCCAACAAAATATTTTTTGAGATGAATATGGTGAGTAAAGTGAAATAAAAAAGTCCTTATTCAAAGACCCTTGACCCGTGTTCACACCCGTTTATGCTCAGATCACATACCGCACTCCGGAAGTGACGAAACGTGTCAGGACGTGACATCTGATGTATTCACTCTAAACCGGAAGTGTCGGTGCGCCCATTTTGGAAATTGGAAAACGTGGTTTCTTAACCCAGGAAGACACTGAGGCTGGTTTATTTGGCACAAAGTTGATTTCTACTTACCCCAATGTTAGATATTTTATTAAAATGTCTTTATACTTTACATATATATACCACAGAAGTCTCCTTTTTGCTTTATGAGGAATATGGAGGATTGGCAACTGAAGTGAATTAAAGCTTGGAAGTGGTTTGCTATATTTACCAAGAATATCCTGATAAGCTTGTGATTACTCCCTGAGGATAATTGTATTTAATCTCACTATTTGGAGGTGGTCACAGAGTGTTCACTGGACGAATTGGAGTGCTCACTAATATATTTGATTTGTCTTACTTAATTTATCTTATTACTATATATTGAGATCATTATTTATTTATTTATTATTTTAATTATTAGGTTTTTTTTTTTGCACTCTAGTTTCACTTCTATTTCACTTTTTGTAGGAGTGTACACGGAATGTTTTTTTGCATGATTCACATGTTATTCACAGTTGAATCTGTTCTTATTTTGGTGCACTTGTTCATTGTTTGCACTGATACTGTATTTAAGGTATTTACATTGATTAGGTATTTAGAAGGTAATACACTATTATAGTTTTTATTTTTTCGAGGTTCACGAGGATTGGAATGAGAATTGGAAGTTCGACACACTGGATTAAGAGATTTTTTTTGGACTATTGATTGATTGGACTCATATTACTTTTGGACATTTTATTTATTTATTTTTTATTTATTTTTATTTTTTATTATTATTTACTATTTATTTGGGAATATTTTGGAATTTCTTGATGGGGTTGGAATAGGATATATCTGTATTATATTACTAATCTTATTTCATATATGAGTTTTGGCAGATAGGTGGAGGAAAAGGTTGTTTATTATCTCAAGTGTACATAGTTCTTATGTTGGAGTATCCCACTCATCTCCCTCATCGCTATCCAAAATAAAGGGACTTTAAATGTGCCAAGATTAAATGTACAATCAAAAATAAATCCACAAGTACATTTTATTTGCATCTGTAACACCCTCCTAGTTAGCTAGGGGGAGCTAGTGTTGGGTGTGAGAGTCAAATTTTGGTCTGGAGCTAAGAAGCTCTGCAGGTCAACCCCTGTGGCATTTCCCCTTCTCTAGAGATTTGAAGGAAGGCCTGGAAGCAGTGCTGGATCCCTGGAGTGGCTGGCTTGCATTCTTGAAGGATCTTAGCCAATCCCCAACAGAAGGCTTGGCAAGGGGCTGGGGCACTTAAAATGGTTGGAGACTGCTCAGTAGCAGGAGAGTTTGGGTGGAAGATAGAAAGGAAGATGTGAGGCTGAAGGCAGGAGGCTGGCCAGTGGGATTGGGCCTGCCTGCAGGCCTGGAGCTGGAAAGGAGGAAATCTCAGAGCTCACTGGCCACCAGTGCAGGGGCCACCTGTATTGCAGGGAAGAAGTGGCCCAGCCAGGGGCGGACTAACCATTTGGAAACTCGGGCACTGCCCGAGGGCCCGGGGTCAGTAGGGTCCCCATGAGATGCCCCTGGTACCTTTTTCATAGGCCTTTTTTGGGTTTGTGCAAGGACACAGGGGCCCCATGATCCCCTATTGTCTGGGGGCCCCATGATTTGTCAGTCCGCCCCTGGGCCCAGCTGATAGACCTAGTAGCAGCCACCAACCAGCAGTACAGGAGAGGATCTGAATGAGTATACCTGTACCACTTGGGTGGATAGGGGAAGGAGCACTATGGTAGGAAACCAGATTAGCCACCTACCAGTGACTGTTCATCTCTTAACAGCTTTGCCTCTGCCTTATAGCATAAATACTGCAACAGGGCAGTACGGGTGCGCAAAATCACGTATATATGTGATTTTGCATTTCCGCCATTCGCGGCCGCGGCTGTCAATAACTGGGTCCCGGCCGGTAATTACTCGGCGGCTCCCGGTGATTGCCGAGCATCTCCGATGGGGGGAGAACTGTTTTGTAAACAGCACAGCCATGCAAAGCAGTGTGCTTACAGTGAAGCACAGACACACACAGCCCAAAGTAAAACAGCACACAGTTAACCCTTGAATCGCTCCACATGTTAACTACTTCCTGCCCAGTGTCATTAGTACAGCGTCAGTGCTTTTTATTAGCACTGATCACTGTATTGGTGTCACTGGGGATGTCAGTGGCGCCAAGTCAGTTCCCACCCAGTATAAGAATGCCTGCCGCAGTCCCGCTATAAGTTGCTGATCGCTGCCATTATTAGAGAAAAAAAAATCCCAGTATATATACCGGCATTTGTAAACGCTATAGCTTTCACATAAACCAATTAATTTACACGTATTGGAATTTTTTTATCAGAAATGTAGCAGAATTCATTTTGGCATAAATTTATGACGAAATTTGATTTTTAAAAATTTTTTACTGGACATGTTTAATAGCAAAAAGTAAAAAATATTGTTTTTTTTCTCAAAATTGTTTGTCTTTGTTTTTATAGCTCAAAAAATAAAAAACGTACAGGCGATCACATACCACCAAAAGAAAGCTCAATTTGTGGAAAAAAAGGACGTAAATTTATTATTTGGATGCAGCATTGTATGACCGCACAATTGTCAGTTAAAGTAAAGCAGCGCTGTAACGCAAAAATTACCTCGTCAGGAAGGGGGGTAAATCCTCTGGAGGACAAGTGGTTAAAGTGACAGGAATCAGATCCCCTGTTCAGGGATACCTCCAGATTGCTGGATGAGGAGAAGTTCATCTAGGATCTTCGGTGGTACATTAACCACTTGCCCTCCTGAGGATTTACCCCCTTAATGACCAGGCCTCTTTTTGCTACTCTGTGCTGCACTAATTTAACTGATAATTGTGCGGTCATGCAATGCTGTACCCAAACTAAATTTCTGTCCTTTTTTTCACACAAATAGAGCTTTCTTTTGGTGGTATTTGATCACCTGTGCGCTTTTTATTTTTCGCGCTAAAAAAAAAGACTGAAGATTTTGAAGAAAAATGATATTTTTTTACTTTCAGCTATAAAAAAATATATATAAGCAAGCTCAAAGTTAGTTATATAAATTTAGGCCAAAATGTATTCTGCTCCATGTTTTTGGTAAAAAAAAATCCCATTAAGTTTATATTGATTGCTTTGTGTGAAAGTTATAGCGTCTACAAACTATGGTATAGATACTGCAATTAACACCATTTTTTGCTATACAGCGCTGCGCTAGTTTAACTGACAATTGTGTGGTCATGCAATACGGTACATAAATGAAATTTTATGTCCTTTTTTCACACAAATAGAGCTTTCTTTTGGTGATATTTTATCACCTGTGTGCTTTTTATTTGTGGTGCTATAAACAAAAAAAGTTTTGAGATAAAAAAAAATCTAATTTCTGTCATAAAAAATATCCAAAAAAACTATGATTTCATCATAAATTTTGGCCAAAATGTATTCTGCTACATGTTTTTGGTTAAGAAATTCCCAAAAAGTGTATATTGATTGCTTTGTGTGAAAGTTATAGCGTCTCCAAACTATGGTATAGATAATGGAATTTACACAGCTTTTCCTTTCTGACTGCTCATCCACATTTCTTGAGGTGCTAAAATACCAGGATAGTACAAACACCTCCAAATGACCCCTTTTTGGAAAGTAGACACCCTAAGCTATCTGCTGAGAGGCATATTGAGTCCATGGAAGATTTTTTTTTTTTCCCACAAGTTTCTGGAAAATGACAAACTTTTTTTTACACAAAGTTCGCATTTAAATTATATTTTTTTCACACAAGCCATGGGTATATATGGAATTATACCCCAAAATACATTTTGCTACTTCTACCCGAGTATGGGGATACCACATGTTTGAGACATTTTGGGGAGCCTAGCCACATACAGGAGCCTGAAATCCAAATGACCACTTTGAAAGCCTGAAGGTGCTTAACCTCCTCATTTCACTTCCTCACTACCTATCACAGTTTTGGAGACCCTGAAATGCCAGGATAGCACCAAACTCCCCCAAATTACCCCTTTTTGGAAAGTAGACACCCCAAGAAATTTAAAAAGAGGCATGATGAGTATTTTGCAGATCTCATTTTTTCTCACAAGGTTTTGAAATATAAAAAAAGAATAGAAAAAATGTTTTTGTTTTTGTTCTTCAATTTTCAAAAACTTGTGGCAACAAACAAGATCTGCAAAATACTCACCATGCTTCTGATCAAATTCCTTGGGGTGTCTACTTTCCAAAATGTGGTCATTTTGGGGGGGTTTGGTGCTATCCTGGCATTTCAGGGCCTCCGAAACTGTGATAGGTAGTCAGGAAGTGTAATGAGTAAATAAAGCCCTTTAAAAGCCTAATGGTCCCTTTTGGATTTTGGGGTCCTGTACTTAGCTAGACTGCCAAAACGTCTCTCACATGTGGTACCCCCATACTCAGGAGAAGTAGCAGAATGTATTTTGGGGAGAAATTCCACATATACCCATGGCATGTGTGAGCAATAAATCATGTAAGTGACAATTTTGTGTAAAAAAAGAAAACATTTTTTGTTTGTCATTTTCCAAAAATTTCTGGTAAAAAAATAAATTCTTCTATTGATTGAACATGCTACTCAGCAAATAGTTTGAGGTGTCTACTTTCCTAAAAGGGGTCGTTTTTGAGGGGTGGGGGAGCATTTTATGCCCAGCGTTAGAAGTTTATGCCATACATCACTCACTCTTCTAACCACGTGAAGACCAAGCCTTTTCTGACACTTTTTGTTCACATGAAAAAAATCTGTATTTTTTGCTAGGAAATTAATTTAAACCTCAAACATTATATTTTTTTAAAGCAATCACCCTAGTGAATAAAATAGTGGGTGCTGCAATTTTTTATGTCACAAAGTACTCACGCAGCGATTTTTCAAAAGCAATTTTTTTTTAAAAAATACACTTTTTTTTTACTTTTATTGCACAAAAACACTAAATATTGGCCAATTATTTGGCACAATATAAAAAAAGATGATGGTATGCCGAGTAAATAGATACCAAACATGACATGCTTTAAAAACTGCGCATGCCCCATGCAAAGGCAACAAACTGCATACATTTTTAATATCCATAGGCAACATTTTAAAAGCCTTTACAAGCTACCATTTTAGATTTACAGAGGGGGTCTAGTGTTAGAATTACTGCCCTTGATCTGATGTTCATGGCGATACCTCACATTCATGGTGCAACCCCTGTTTCCATACTGGCACAGGGTCAATGCTCATGAACACAGATGTGCGCGTGCTCAGGGGGGTGAGGGTACTTTTTTTAAGTTATTTTGATTTTTTTTATTATTTTTACACTTTTCCTTCATTTTGTTTTTTTGATCACTTTTAATGCTATCACAGGGAATGCAAATATCCCCTATAACTTCAATGGGCATTGTCATATATTCTTTTTTGAGAAATCTGGGCTAGATATCTCCTCTGCCCTTACATTATTTAATCAAACTAAGATCTGTGTGATCAGATGCTTTCCCAATTTACAAATGGCGCTGTTTACAGTATATCCTGTGAAACTGAAGTGATGAAATGCTCGTAGCTTCCAAATTCTTAGGCTATAGCGATGATTGGCACCATTCTGGTCTCCAATCAGCTCTATCGTAAGCTGGCAGAAACATCGGCTGAATTCTCAGGTTGCCCCGATGGCACAGGACTGCTCGAGCAGGCCGTGGAAGGCAGTGGGGGAGGGGGGCATCATCTTTTGCTGCTTGTAAAAAACAATCCTGCAGCCGATTAGCCACTAGGATTGCTTTTACATAAAAGCCGATCGCCGGATGAAAAAAAAAACCAGGATGATGCCTGCAGCTGTAGGTATCATCCTGGTATAACCATTCAAAGTCCAAAGATGTACCAGTACCTCGGTTTACGAATTTAATTTGTTCTGCAGGACATTTCATATAGCGAAAAATTTGTAAACCGAAACACTTTCCCATAGGAATGCATTGAAAACCAATTAATCCTTTCAGAAGGTCAGAAAAACAGTAAACGCTACTAAAATACTGCATGAGTTATTTTATTAACTCATGCGGTATTTTACTAGTGACAACCATGTGTTAATATTTCAGCTGTCAGCGGGGGTTCCCCACTGACAGATGAATGTAAACGAATTGCTGGTAATTAAAAAAATTTTTTAATTGCAGGCATTTCGCTCAGCTGTCAGGTGCCAGTTTTTAAATGTAATTACTGTTTTTTTTTTCCCCTTCACTATACAGTAGTTCAGAAATTCAGCAGTTACTTTCCCCCTCCTGCTGAAAGAGAGAAAGTTTCTTTTAGTTTATTTCCCCAAGTTAAAAGATACAATGTTTCCTTTCAGTTTCTTAAAAGATACAATGTATCCTTTCAGTTTCTTAAAATATACAAAGTATCCTTTAGCTCTGGGAAACTGACAGCTAGTGTTGTGAGCTATACTGAAAAAAAAAATGATGGCAATTGCACTTAAAAATCAGCACTGATACACTTAGTATTGTGAAAAAAAATGAGTAAAAAATGAGTAAACCGAGGCATTATTTTCAATGGATTTTCATTATAAACTGAAAATTACATTAACAGAGGCATTCGTAAACCGAGGTATTACTGTATATGCTATGTTCTTTTTTTTTATGTATGCAGCCTGTGGACTAAATGAAATGAAAAAAAGAGAAGAAATCTCTGCCAGAAAAAGTGTGTGGTATGCCCACTATTGGAATATACCGCCTTGCATTCACCCACTTCTAATGGTGGGCACACATTAGGTCGCACTTTGCCACATGCACCAGTTCCAAGATTTTACAAATGTCTAAATAGCGGCACGCTTGAATAAAAATTGTCCACGTATAAGTGGTACCCCATATGGAAAAAGAATGACACCAAGTCCCAAACTATCTTGCCACTGCTCCCCATGTAGTCTGGGCATCTGGGGGGCTCCACGTGACTATCGTTTCCCTCGTAAATCCGAACAATACTTGTGCTCACCACCGCACAAGCTTGTACTACACTTATGGGACTTGCCAGGTCGCCAAGTCATACTGCAGTGCTGGTATTATTATTATAATACAGGATTTATATAGCGCCAACAGTTTGCTCAGCGCTTTACAATATAATGGGAGACAATACAGCAACAATACAGTTCAATACTGAGGGTTTGGAGGGCCTGATCCTGGGAACTTACAATCTAAGAGGTATATGAAAGACCAGGATGTATTGGACCGCTGGTGTCGCCAGTTCACCAAAATGTAGCGTGGCACTA